TTTTCGTGCCTCGCGGTGTGAGATTCCAAGGGGGACTTACTCCAGCGCGAAATCGTTTCAGCTATGGGTCTGGGGAAGATCCTTGACGACAATGTGCTTGCAATGGCATTGCCATCTGGACCCCCACCATCCCTGCGAAAGGACGGGAAAAAACCACATAAGGTCATGCCAGTTGAGGATGGCACGGGTAGCGGTAGCAGTATCCTCAACAGTATTGGCACTCCAGTGGAATCCCGATCCTTTCAAGGCGTGGGCGGGTCTGTCTACTGGTCATTTGTTACGGTTTGCGAACAGCAAAATCATGTTTTGTAGTAGGTACATCATCATTTTCATCATATGTAAATGAGCCATTTCCATAGCTACTGTTAAATAATCAAAGGGTAAGAATGGGGGATGGCTCCCCAGGAAAATGACGAGAGTGACCATGGAATTTCAAGGGCAGCCGATTTTTAAGACAAATCAACCTGTAGGTTGATGCTTGGAGTGGGGTGAAATACGGATTCTTTGGACTTTGGAATTATGATAAATTATCATCCATGACAAAAACCGAATAGTTCCATAGGATACTCAGACTCAGAATCCAATAGTTACATTGGAATCCCATCTTTAGGTCCCGCAATGTGTTGATCTACAGGACAATTCACCGGATCAACAACTCTGCAAAATTGACTCATGATTTTCTTTTCGAAAAACCTTACACATTTAAATCCATTTACCCTCTGGTAATTTGTTACAAAAAGCTATGGAAAATCACCGTTTTTAATGGGTAAATCCACTATAAATGGCAATTTTCAATAGCTATGTGGCTGTTTACCAGAGGGTAACATGCTAAACCCCGTCTCAAAAACACATCCCAAAACATGATGAAAAGAACGCCTGGAGGGAGGACTGCGCTCTTCCCTGTAAAATACAGGATTTTATTCATCAACCATGTTCGATTTAAGTGTTAAACAACTTCAAAGACACTGGAGGTGCGCCTCAAAATGAAATTTGTGTTTTTTTCGTTGTAGCCAAACGCTGACTTTGGCGAACATTGGTTTTCGAAAACTTGTGCCCCAAACACATTCATCCGCTGCCTTTTTTCCACTTCTCGCTTGATCACTTCCAGTAGCCGGATCTTTTGCTTGACCGACTTCTTTTGGTTGACCGATTTCCAGTAGCACCAAGAACGTGTTAGATATTGTAACATAGAAAAACACCTGCCAAGAAAAGAAGGCCACAAAACCTTATTGGTTCCCCACCCCCACCCGAAACCCTGCCCCCCCAGCCACATCAAGTTCACGTGACAACAGTGCGGTCGCCTGAAAAGCGATGTCCAGCCTCTTTGAGTGCGATGATTTTCCCATTTCTTTTGTGTCGTAAGCAGCCCATTTTGGGCCCCAGTTCTCCCATCTTCCATTCATATTCCGTTCATTTTCAATGAATATTCCAGAAAATATCACCATTAGCTACGGAAAACCATTTCAAAAGAAAACCATGTTCAATGAATATTCCATTTTTTATCACCATTAAAAACTATATGGAAAGCCTAATGGCGAAAACTTCTAACATCGGAAAAAAAAATCCTGGGCGACTCAGGTGGTTCACAGATGTCCTCTGGTCGAAATCGTCACGAGCGCGTGATCCGCCGCATTTGCCTCAGAGCGTTTTTGCGGATCAATGGCTTCAGCACCCTGGCTTTTACCGATGATTTTAAGGATGATTTTAATGGTGTTTTAATGGTGTTTTATATGGATTTAGGATGATTTAGTGTAATTTTCTAGGGATTCAATGAGACGTTTTTTCGTTTTTTTGTGGCATCCAAAAAGGAATTTAGGGATATTTTATAGGGATTTAACTGGACTTTAAAGCGATTTATTGGGATTTAAACAGATTTAATTAATGGATTTCAAAGGGGTTTCATGGGATTTTATAAGGATTGAATTGGGCTTTATACGGATTTAGTGGGGTTTGATAGGGGTTTTATGGGAAATCCCGGTACCAAGTAGCCTTAATAGTTCACTGGGAAAATCATCGAACCTTTCGTGGGGTATTTCATGGTGAAGCAACAGAAATGATGGACCAGTAGGATTTGATATGTATTTCACCCACAATGATACCTCACCAGTACCCTCTGGTTATGACTAACAGTTCGCCATGGAAAGATCCACCCATTTTTAAGAACGGTAAACCATCTATTTCGATATGGGCCATGGCTTAACCATGGCTATGTTAGTCATAACCAGAGGGTAAATGGGTGCGAGAATGGGGATATTTCAAGGGAAAATCGTCGAAAAAACTCACTCCTGGGATGGACACATTGAATCCTCTGGTGTCAGTTCCGCTTTGCGATTTCTGCTCCCATCATGAAACATTAGCATTTAAGTGAGAAACGTCTCGAACTAAATGGGTATCCTAAGCTGTTTTTTTGGTACCATGTTTTTTTCTTTTCTGAAGTTCAATGCGGGCAAATTCCGAGGAATCTCCACGTTTCTGGCCTATTTATGGGTCTGAACGCCTGAGAATTGACCACCCAAATCTTACCTGCTGTTAAGAGGATCAAATAGTCATTTGTAATTTCTCCAATTATCATATGTCCCTCTTCATGTCGAATGTAAACCAAGTGTACAAAACACCCAGTGACTTAGTCCACAGTTAGGAAACCTTTCTCATAATAACACAATCAAACCAGTTCAGTTCCAAAATTCATTGTTAATTCCCGCTGTTAGTTTTGACCCAATTTGATAAAATGTGGTTCAATGACGGGATCATCCCATCTAAATTATTCTATTCTATCCCAAAACCTGGCTCAGCCGCTGCCCTGCCATTCCGCTGCTGCGGCTTCTCCAGTTGGGGGCCTCAGATCGGAGCTTGGGGCCATTAACCAATTTCCTGCTAGTCATCCACCCCAAGTTGTTCACACTTTTTTCCCCTCATTGCTGCCACTTCATCAAATTGTTCAACTGGCCCACCAGCCGGGCACTGACTGGTAAAGGCCAAGCGTTTCCTAGGGCTTGACCTAGCTGGCGACATGATAAGGGCTCAGGTGACAAAGTCGCTGGATCCCATCCCATAACCAATGCCTTTTCCTGAATCCATCAAAAAGTCACATTGAAAAGGGGAAAGGAAATCCATTGGAACTATTTAATTGTTTGATGATTAGACTTAACCCTTCAAGTTTAGGAATGAGGATAAATCTGTTTTAAATAAAATGTCATGACTGACGAAATTGAAACAATCAAACAATCCAGTCCTTCAAGTTCAAGAACCGGCGATGACTTGTGATCCAAAATGAATCACTTCCTCCACGTGTGCGGGTCAAGCACGGACACCTTAAGGCCACACCAAACACACACAAAACATAAACCCTGCTAATTTAAAGTTGAAGGCATTTGTTTGAAAGTATGATCATTCTGACTGAAGTGCATAATCAGGGCACACTTCAAGCGAAGGATGACCAGAAAATTGTTCACTGGCCCCGGTGTCGATGATCCTGGGAGCATATAGAATGGGATAGACCAACTTTGGGATAAACCAAAACTGGGGATAGACCAAAACTACCCTATTTCAAGTTCTGATTCTGTTGCGCCCGTTTCTTTTGATTCAGCTGAGTCCCCAAAGTGAGAAATATTTTTCCCCACCTGCCAGGTGAGGGTTGTTAGATTTTATCAGAGCTGTTCTCCTCATCCTGCTCCTTCTCCTCCTCCTCCGCCGCCTCCTCCTCTTCCTCCTCCTCCAGTTTCTCCTCGACCATGTCTGCATCAACTTCCACGTCCACTTCCGCCTTGCCAACTCTTCGCCGATCTCTTCGCCAACTTCTGCGCGCAGTGGGCACTGCTGGACCTCAACTGCCAGCTTCGATCTGAGTGGGCACGGCTGGACCTCAACCGCAAGGTTCTGAGCGCAGTGGGCACCGCTGGACCTCAACCTGGGACCTTCCGATCGCAGTTGGCACCGCTGGACCTCAACCTGGGACCTTCCGAGCTCAGTGGGCACCGCTGGACCTCAACCTGGGACCTTCCGAGCTCAGTGGGCACCGCTGGACCTCAACCTGGGACCTTCCAAGCTGAGTGGGCACCGCTGGACCTCAACGGCCAGATAGAATGCCAGAAGATATGCCAGAAGATATGCCAGAAGGTATGCCAGATAGAATGTCAGATAAAATGCCAGAAGATATGCCAGATAGAATGCCAGAAGATTTGCCAGATAGAATGCCAGAAGGTATGCCAGATAGAATGTCAGATAGAATGCCAGAAGATATGCCAGATAGACTGTAAGGTATGCCAGAAGATGTCAGGTAGAATGCCAGAAGATATGCCAGATAGAATGCCAGATCGAATGCCAGAAGATATGCCAGATAGAATGCCAGATAGGATGTTAGAAGATATGCCAGATAAAGTGCCAGATAGAGTGCCAGAAGATATACCAGAACATATGCCAGAAGATATGCCAGGTAGGATGCCAGAAGATACGCCAGATAGAATGCCACAAGATATGCCAGAAGATATGCCAGATAGAATGCCAGAAGGTATGCAAGATAGAATGTCAGATAGAATGCCAGAAGGTATGCCAGGTATAATGCCAGAAGATATGCCAGATAGAATGCCAGAAGATATGCCAGATAAAATGCCAGAAGATATGCCAGAAGATATGCCAGAAGATATGCCAGATAGAATGTCAGATAGAATGCCAGAAGGTATGCCAGATAAAGTGCCAGAATATTTGCCAGATAGAATGCCAGAAGATTTGCCAGATAGAATGCCAGATAGGATGTCAGAAGATATGCCAGATATAATGCCAGATAGAATGCCAGAACATATGCCAGAAGATATGTCAGGTTGAATGCCAGAAGATTTGCCAGATAGAATGCCAGAAGATATGTCAGATAGAATGCCAGAAGATTTGCCAGTAACAAAACATATAAATGTCATGGTGGGGATGACTCGAAGTAAAGTAATTTCTGATATCTGAGCCTATCTCCAAGTCAAAGCCAGGAAACCATGTGTCATCCATCGAATGCCCACCATCTTGAAGGGTTTCCAGACCAGCCTTCAATCTTTTCTTCTCGCTTGATGACGAAGGAAATTCATATTCAGAACTTCTCCTGCTGGGGTTTTCAAGACTATGAGCCCCATTTGCTGTATATAAATGTCAATGGGGTTTTCGGTTTCATGAATCCCTGACGAGCCTCCCCAAAAAACAAGAGAGCTTGATGTTCTTCCATCCACGAAATGGTTTGGGCCACTTGAATTTTCCTTAAGTGTTGCAGTAGCCAGCAAAAAGATGCAAGAGTAAAACGCATAACTCTTAATAAATTGGACTTGGGGGTGCAGTTCAACTTGTAAGTTGGGATTACCATAAGGGGTGTTCTTCCAAATTGTTAAATATATATAATAATTTATAGTGGTTATTATTATCATCACTGCACCCCCAAGGGGTTCCCCACTACATACATATTTTTGGATTTATCCCACAATGATCTATTAATTCATGATTGTTAATTGAATTTGTTTTACATCAACCCCAAGTTCACCCAGCCAAACTGCTGATGATATGTTGCCCAGGTGCCAACACCCTTCTTCACACCGACAATCCAGAGGCGCTTTCGGCGCTGTGGGACTCCACCAAACTGGCGGGAATCCAATACCTGCCAGAGCAATGCTAGGGGAAGTGTTGGATTTAAGATGGAGCAGGGATACCAATGAACACGATATCAGAATGAGCCTGCCTTCCAAGAGACATTGTAATATCCATTAGCCTTCAACCTAGGCAGACCCAAATATCAACGAGTTCAAAGATACTGGCAGTCTTTGTGTCGAACATACTTCAATGGTCTACAGGGTTGCCAAGTAACTTTGACAACAGTTTGCGGAAAAAACGCCTGTTCCGCTTCGAATTCAATGTCTTGAGGTTCTCTAGGATGTAGGTGTCAGGCTTCCAAACAGTGATTCGGTTCACTACCTGATCCCAACCCCATGCTGAATCATAATGATATCACGCAAGTTGATGTTGAAGTCCACTGGCTGGGCTTATAATGTCATCATGTTGTATTTCATTGCACATAGATTAGAGGTATGAACAATTTAACCAAGAATCTCTTTCAAAGACTCTGGCACGTGGGTCCTTTGCCCCCAGCATCTTCCCCATTGCCGAATACGGCTGGCATGGGCATCCTGCCCCAAATAAGTCTATATGTTTCCGGCGCTTGCCTGGGCATGCCAGGCAGAAGGATGGAAAAGCAAAGGCAAAAACGACATGTGGAGGTGGAAGGTACGGCCAGGGTGGACTAGCTACTGGGCTGGTGAACGCATCCAATTTGAAAAACCAAGTTGCCTTTTTGAGACTTAAGTGCATTTTGGGATGCCACCTTTGGCTTGCAGATCTTGACCAATCGCTCGAATAACTTGGGATCACTTTCTGAAAGATAGAAGTACTCAGAGTTGATGTTTGCTAGCCTTGGTTTTGAAGGGCACCCAACAGGTTCAACCAAGTTGGCACTGCAGCCAAAACCACGTTTCTTGAAACTAGCAAAGCAGCCTGCAACTCTCATGAAGGGCCCCTAGCCCAGCGCAATCTTCACCTAGAACTATTGTACGTTTGGGCATGTACCGGTTGACTCCAGGTCACCAGGGGCCAAATGGCTAGGTGGCATGAAGCAAACTACGTTGATGAGTGATTTCCAACCTTGAAGCAAATCATACATGTAATTTAGATGTAACAGTGATGGTCCAAGGTTTCTTTGAAGCATCATGTGTATGGGCCCAATTTAAAAATGATGCATTAATCTTGCAAGTAATATTTTACAACACAATGCCACCATTGAAACCTTGGAATATCTTAGATATCGTCAGGGGCACCATTTTTCAGCACCGCCAAGCAAAATCCAGCCATGTCAATAGTTGCTGCGTGCTGCAATCCCTCAGGTGTATCATCTGTCAAATCAGTTTTGTGGTACGATGTTGTTACTTTTTTGGGGGTGCATTTTTCCAACCATCAGATGATCATAGGGAAGTTACATCAGGCCGCTAAGTCGGTTCAGCACGCCAGCCGCAGTCTTGGAGCCACCCTGGCACAGGGTTGTGAACTAAAAACTTTTGCTTGAGATTACCTTGGTGCACCAGGCCTTAGGACGTCCTCGTGCCTTTGCCTTTGCCTTTCCCGCTTGCTTCTTCTTTCCACCTGCCTTCGGTTTTGCCTTCGCTTTGCCTCGTGCTTTTGCCTTTGCCTTCGCCTTTCCCTGTGCTTTTCGCTTCTTGCCCCTCCCACCTGTCTCTGCCTCGGCATCCTGCTCATCCTCATCCTGATCCTCATCCTGCTCATCCTTGTCCTCGCCCTCATCCTGCTCATCATTGTCTTCTTCCTCTTCTTCTTCATCTTCCATGTTATCTTGGTCTTCTTCGTCCTCTTCCTGGTCTTCATTGTCTTCTGGGTCTTCCTCCTCCTCCTCCTGCGCATCCTCTTCCTCGTCATCTTCCTGGTCACCTGTCTTCTTTCGCTGTCCTGCTTTCGCTTTTGCCTGGACAAAATGGAAAACTTAATGGTTTGAAAACTAAACAGGAGCACCAACTGTTAGAGAAGAATGCAAAGACATGGACTCAAAGTAAGTACTAAGTTGGTCTTGCCTTAGCTTTCGCTTTGGCAGTTCGCAGCAGGGCTTGCAACCCAGGCTCATACAGCGGGGAATCAGCTGTTTGCATAGCTTTGAAGACCAATGCCTCCAATCGCTTCAGCAGCATCTTTGCCTAAGAATTCACATAATTTTACTAAGTTAGTTTGAGACTTGATCATCGCCATTGCGATTGAAGTTTTGCTCGGGCACGCTTATGTTTGAAACTAAAGAAACTCAGCCAAGATGCATGATCCTCATTGAAGACCACTCCAACAAAGGGCACGCGTTTGGTGATGGCCACAAACGCTGTTTTGCCATCGCCTGGGCTGGCTAAAGGTTCTAATAATATCAGGGTATTGCTTTCCAGTAGATTTATCGCAACTGTTGAAATTAGTATTTCTAAGCTTTTAAGCTTTCTCTACAACAATAATTGTTGATATAAATCTAAGCGTTTATCACTTAACCTTGTAAGTAACATTATACTATAATACCAGGGATGTATACAGCAGATACCATGGGAAATCAGGAGTAAATGACTATTGTGTTGCAAACCCTAAATCATAGCCACTAGCTGAAACTGACTTGGAAATACCTGGGCAAGTTACAGCACGTCAGGTCCAGCATGTGGGAAATGTTGAACTCGCTGAAAACCTCTTCAACCTTGGTTTGGAAGGCTGTAGGAATGGGACACCTTCTTACCTCAAAGTTGTTCAACCAAGGGGCTGCCTTTAGAGGGAACGCATGATATGCCACCGGTTCCTCATCCGCATCCCTTCTCCTGCCTTGGAGCATGAGATGCATTGACAGCTACAAGACGAGTTTTCCCCACAAGGGTGGAACATACTACTATGTTTCCTCAAGCAAAGTGTGGTGGGATACTTCTGCACTGGAGGATTCTGGTCAGTGGCCATTCAGGGGGCCTTGCTGAACATCGCGATGACAACAACAAGAAGATTACCAACACAATGTGCACCGACAGATCATCACAGTGCTTGATGGGCGAATGGTTCTATGTGCTGGTACCTTCATCCCTGCTTGATTCGTCCCCAGAGTAACCCCCCAACACCACCTTGATTTAACCATGATACCCTGCTTGTCAGAGACTTCTTCTGGTACATTCTTCTGGCCCACCGCCACCCTGTTGAGAGGCCCATAAAGAAGCTTCTTGCTGGCCAGAGTCATGCGCCATGTCTCAGCTGGATCCTTAGGCAGTCGTGTGGGAAAGAGTTGGGGGTAGTAGGAAACATATGGAGTGGGAGAACTTGAATCATATCATTTGAATCTTTGAGACTGGGTTTCCCATTTCTGTGTCTAAGAGAAGCCAACAAAATTTTCGATAAGCCATGACATGGTTCATCCCAATTGGGCGCTTGCACTGGGTAAATAACATCTCCTCTGTTGGAACCTTCATAGTGCACCCGCTGGTGAAATGAAAATGATTGCTCCTCAGGGAGAACTGCAACCAGCTTCTCCATTTGGTTGACGCATGCGCCACGATCGCGGTGCTTTCTGTTACGCAAGCTGGCTTCACACCAGAGAACATGTTTGTAAAGCTTCACCTTTGTCATGTTCCCCGTAGGTGGCTTGAGGGCTGACATGATGGATGAATGGAGTCCTTAGCAACACCATTGTTGGATATCCCTTGCACAGGCATGTATCCAAATAAGTTCATATTCCAGTTGGCCCCCAAAAATATGAATCAAAGAAGAAAATGTAATTGACATTGAACGGGGATTAAATTACAAATTCTTACTTTAGTACAGTAGTCTTAAAATTGATTCTCCAAGGTACCATCCCTGCCACCATCACTGAACAGAATGCCATCTCCTTGCCTCATGCCTGACTCTCCCTCCATGCGCAAGGAAATGGCTGCCCCAAACAACTTATTGTGTCTCCCTTCGCGCAAGGGAGGCAAGCGTAGGGCGGGCTGTGTGCCTGCCTCTCCGCAAACCTTTGAGTCCTTAGTTGGTTGGTTATCTTTGGAATTTGGTTCTTCACCGATGATGGTTTCATTGACATCACCAAGACTTATTATTCTTATGTGGTGATGGTCCAGAACCTTAAAATGCTGCTGAGTTTCAAAGTAGACCGCCACCAGCTTTGTTACCTGCCTCCTGGGCCCACATGGTTGGTTTTTTTTGGTGAGTTGGTAGTCCCTGTTGGTAATGGTCTTTTAGCTTGAAGGTTAGTGTGGGGGTGTTCAGATAACTCTCCAGAATGAAATCCATTCAAACAATTTCACTAGGGCTAGCCACTTACAAACTTGAGAGATCCCCTCCCTTTTAAAATATGCAATGGGGCTTTAATGCAATTGGAGGCAAAGTTCGTGTCAGCATCTACTTCACCTCGCCATTCTGGGAACGATGTCGCAGACAAAGCTTTCGCCATGTTGGTGGTGTTGTCCTGGGGAAAGTTTCTGTAAATGGGCATTGACTTGAAGGGAGAATAAGGATTTCCTTGGTTTATTGATGCCCATGATAATTCCAGGTTCCTCCTCGACGACCAGCCGCACATGTGTTCTCACAGTTTGGCAAGCTTTCTTCTTGAACCTTATGTGAGCAGCTGTTGAATCCAGGAGGGAAACAAGTAATCAGAATTCATATTCTGAATATACTTATAGAAAGACTCAGGGCAAAACACATCAACTTTCTTTCGCGCTTCTTCTGCTAGATCCGGGGGCTTTTCTACAACATCCGCACCCCTTTTGGCTTTCTTTTGCACAGCCACCTGAATTGGAAGCACCTGCCATAAAGAATGGGAAATGATGGCAGTCAAACTTTGAACAGGTACTGAGTTAATAAGTAAAGGTAGTTCAATCAATTTGAACGGTTTAGGCCTGCATGTGGCCCATGCCAGTGTCATCGTCCTGCGTGTTGTTGTCTGGCAGGTCCTCGTCCACAGCAATTGGCTCTTCATCTTTCTCTCCAGCCTGTCAGAGAGGAAGGTGGGTGATGTGGGTATCTTTAAATGGATGGTTGTGATAATAAACATGTGTGATTAAACGTATTAATTGTAAATGTAATTCTATACTCTGATTGTGAAAACTATGAACCTTAGTCAACCATAATTTCAGTTCAATAGACATGCAAGAAAATAATATGATCAATTTAAGGATCATGGGTTTGGGATGAGACTCAAAGCCCTCAGAATGCCTCCTTTTTACGTTTCTTCTCTTCTTTGTCCCACTGCCTCAAGGCATTGGAAGAAAGCAGTTGGGTATCAGCAAAAATCAACAAACAATAATAATTTCTGAACTCATTCAAACCAACTAAATATTTATCACTTGGACTTTTATACTTTATGACCATGGGCGTTCTTGTGACGATTCTTTTGACCCTGGATTTTTTGTTGAAAAAAATCACATGGTCAAAAAGTGGCGGCTATTAAGACTTTCCATTTTGTGCAGCCTGGGTACGCCTTCACCGCATCCAAACGGGAACTGACTTCTGGGTTGTCGGCCCAGTCCGCAACCTACAGAGACATCGGTATGGCAACACCATTGGGTGCGAGCTGTGTGCAAGCAGAGGGACGGACGCCCCGATTGACCCAGATTTACTGCGGTTATCGCCAGAGACATGGTTGGAGCAAACCCCATCCAATATCCACCAAGAAGTTTGGCCAAGAAGCCGGCTTCCTGTGTCTGACCAAGTTTTTGAACGCTGACTGGAACGTGTCAGCAAACAAGGCATCCTGCAGGGCGTCATGCTGCATGTCGATTATAAGATAGAGGGGAAAACTGGTAAATCATCATGTCATAATAACTACCCAGCCTCAAGGAATGACCAGAACATCTCAGCTGATTTTGGCCAGCCTCCCAAACAAGAAGTATTTTTTTCAAATAAAGTAAATGGCCCATCGCTGTTAATCTGCTGTTATGTAAACCAGCCTGCACGCCAAGTCAGGTCCACATCAACATCATCCGCATTTCCATTCTTCCTGATCAATGGAAAAGGTCCAATCCCCATCAAAGAAGTGCTGTAGTATGGATGGTATTGGTTGGCCACCTGAGGCCCCTACGAACGGTACACGTCATGCAAAGCAGAGACTTCTTTCATTGTGCTCACAACATCCGAGGGCCACTCATATGACCTTGCCATTGCTGACATCAACCAATAATATATAATTAAATATATATTTTTTTAAATATAGAATAGTAACAATACGCATCACATAAAGAATGAACAGTATATTATTATTATAAACAGTAAAGTTAAGACAGTCCAGATGTGTCATAAAATATTTTGCATACACCTACGTTCACAAAAGGACTTTGGGAATTGAAAACAGCATACCTATCTTAGCTCCCCATTAAATTAGTCAAAGAATTATATAACTAAACTGAAATTGATCAGCAAAACCATAAAACAGTGTCAAGATACGTTACCACCTTGGAAAAGAGATAATCCCGGAAGTCAAAGAGGCCTGTCAGCAAATCCACAGTCCCCTTACCGTGAAGGGATTCCCGCAGCGCTCTCCACGTCATTTGGTCACTGGTGATGTACTTGTTCTTCCAACCATCGAACCTGAGATGGAAGTAAGGCAAACTGAAGCCCACTTAATTTAGGCCCCACAAATTTGTCCTGAAAAATTCTGATAGGGGAACCATGTTGATGATGATTCTGATGTAATATTTCCCCACCTGCCAGGTGAGGGTTGTTAGATTTTATGTCAGTTGCCTGCTCCTCCTCTCCTCCTCTCCTCCTCATCTCCTCCTCCTCTCCTCCTCCTCCTCGTCGTCCTCCTCCTCGTCGTCCTCCTCGTCGTCCTCCTCGTCCAACTGCGACCCGCGATCCACAGTGTTCTCTGTCGGACCTCAACCACGACCATCCACGCCCAGTGTTCCCTGCCGGACCTCAACCACGACCATCCACGCCCAGTGTTCCCTGCCGGACCTCAACCACGACCAGCCACGCCCAGTGTTCCCTGCCGGACCTCAACCACGACCAGCCACGCCCAGTGTTCCCTGCCGGACCTCATCTGCGAGTATCCATGCCAAGTGTTCCCTGCCGGACCTCAACCACGACCATCCACGCCCAGTGTTCCCTGCCGGACCTCAACCGCGAGTATCCCCGCCCAGTGTTCCCTGCCGGACCTCAACCACGACCAGCCACGCCCAGTGTTCCCTGCCGGACCTCAACCGCGAGTATCCACGCCAAAAGAAATGCCACATAGAGTGCCAGAAGATATGCCAGATAGAATGTTAGAAGATATGCCAGATAGAATGCCAGAAGGTATGCCAGATAGAATGCCAGATAGAATGTCAGCTAGAATGCCAGAAGATATGCCAGATAAAGTGCCAGAATGATTGCCAGATAGAATGCCAGCAGATTTGCCAGATAGTATGCCAGAAGATATGCTAGATAGAATGCCAGATGGAATGCCAGAAGATTTGCCAGATAATATGCCAGAAGATATGCCAGATAGAATGCCAGATGGAATGCCAGAAGATATGCCAGAACACATGCCAGAAGATATGCCAGGTAGAATGCCAGAACATCTGCCAGAAGATATGCCAGAACACCTGCCAGAAGATATGCCAGGTAGAATGCCAGAAGATATGCCAGATCGAATGCCAGAAAATATGTCAGATAGAATGCCAGAAGATTTGCCAGTAACAAAATGTATAAATGTCATGGTGGGGATCACACGAAGTAAAGTAATTATTTCGGCCACCAAGCCTTAGTTGGGAATGAGGTTAACTAGAAGATCTGAAACCTACCCAAGAACACGCCCCCAACATTTAGCATAATCTTATGTTTTCCCACGAGAATCTGATAGGGGTATCAGAGTATCATATTTCCAATATCAGTCAGAGTATCATATTTCCAATAATTTTGGGGCCATGGGGCATGCTGTGCAGAACCCACTCCGTAGCCTTTGGATTCCGAGTTTTGCTGACAATGACTTGGAGTTTCGTCCAACTGTCAAACGGGTTTGGGTTGTCACCCCCTCGTTCCTCATCTGCACGTAGTAGGAGATCCATCAGGCCAGGTTGGTTCAAAACCCGCTTGCTCAACGTGATGCAAGTGTCCACAAATGCATCTGTCACCTCAACTGACAGGACAGGATATGAATCACTATGGCTACTATGGGTTTGCTGCTGCTATGTGGTTTCCAGCTTGGAGCCCCAATTTCCAGATGGGTTGATGCAGGGTGGTCCCAATCATCCAAGTTACTTCTTCATCCTTTGAAGCTGGTTGATAGTGCTTTGCAAATCGCTGGCAAAAAGCTTCCGTGCCTTACTACATGGCTGGCATAAAATCTAGGTCACATGTTTATTTGGAAAGAAGTTGTCATACAGTGGATGGAAGAAATCCTGCACCAGTAGATGGTTTATCCGATAAGCATCCCATTATTTACAGAGTTTCGTTGGTACCTAATAGTTCCCAACTGGTGCAGGATTTCTTCCATCCCCAGTATGGAACATTGTTTTGACAAGCAGCTCAAAGGCCCACTGATTTTCTCCATTCTCGATTTGCAGTTCAGGACGCTAAAGATTTTCTGGAGTGTTGTGTGGGTCAGCGCATCCTATAGGGATAAAACATCACATGAGGGGAACCTCCACAATGGTATCGGGAACCCATTTAAAATCAAGCCAAACCCCCAGAAGAACCAAGTCCTTCTTCGCCACCAAGTCTTGTCGCAAGTTGGTGTTGAGGAAATATATCTGTTCATCACTGTTGGCGATCACATACTCCACATTCACCTCAGAGCAGTAACCCGGAGGGGTGGAAACCTGAATTTCATAGAATTTAATGGATACATATTATGAATTTAGTTAGCCCCATAAAATATCAACTAGGTGCTGGAGAGGTTCACTCAGCGCATGCTGCCTCCACTGGGCAAGTTTCTCCTCATCATCGATGTCTCTGTAGATGGACCTTTTTGCTGGCTAGGATGGGGACTAGGTTGGTGGTGCCATTGCAACAATGTATCTTTGGTTGAGATTTTGCTCTACATACTGCTAAGCCGAGTAACAGGACAAAGGCTAAGATGTTCTCACACGGTGACACCGGCTTTGCTTTCAAGACATCACAACTCTGCTCCAGCCAGTCAGGGGGGACTGCGATGGTCAGGGTCCCATTATATGGGGCAGGAAGTTCATAGAAGCGCTTCCCGAGGTCATTGATGGAAGCCTGTCTCAATGGGACCTCACTCACAAGTACCACAAAGTAGTGACAAACTCACAAAGTAGTGACAAGTAATTTGTTGGTTCATCGCATTCTAAGGATGGGGCTGAGGGATCAGCATTGAACAGTGTGTCAAAGCGAAAAATCGATTGGGCACATCGGTACTTCACTGTGCTGGCATCGTCTTTCCCAAAAAGGCTTGCTTTGCACTGGTTGGCATCAAATGCAGCCTAGGCTTGGGATAGGCCAGCCCAATCCATTCCAAGTAAACTAAGAGGGTTTACTTGCATGTCAAAAGTTAATCCTAGTTAATTCCCATCCCTCCAAAAAATAATGGTTAAATTATCTTATTATTATGATGGGAGCATTTAATATTAGGGGGATACGTTACAATAGTTCGAATGAACACATTGAAAGTCAAAACTCAACCCATCAGTATTTGTAAACAATATGTTATTAATTTAAAACTAACATTATGATGGGTTGAGTTTTGACTTTCAATGTCATCCAGAATTAACCCAAATTGATTTGAGCAACCTGCTGCCCACCTGCCCCAATTCCCAAAGGCATCTCATCGGCCACTCCTGGCCACAGCTCCTCCCGCAGCTTGGCAAGCGTGTTGAAGCCAGCAGTCAAGAGATCTGCATTGTAGGAGGATCCTGCAGGGTGGATAATATGATTTATGGGGTTTAGACATGTTTATTTCAATTGGAAATCAACCATTGGTGTCCAAGTGAAAATAGGGCTGGATGTTCAACCAATGGGGTTTTAAAGAATCATTGATAGTTTTGATGGGTGACTAATATTCTATTTATATCACCACCTAATACCAGTTCAACATCAATGGGGTTTGCCTGAAGGTGCGGCATCAGCAAGGTTCTCGGCATCCAGCAAGGGGGTATAAGAAGGCTTTGCCGAAGACTTGGATTTGCCCTTGTTGGATTGTCGCTTCGCGGCCATGGCTTGGCAAAGCTAAGGGGGTCACCCGTTCAATTCCCCCAAGTTTGATTTTTGTTTACTAATCATGTAATAAACTTAATAAGATAGATGATGGCATAAACACACTGACTGGCCAAAATGGCCGGAGAATTGCTGAGCCAGAGCGGGTTAGCATAAATGATGGGTATGGTACATCTTTCCCAGCATGGGACCCACCTCTAACCAAAGTATGTCAACCACCAATGGGGATCACTAAAAACAATATCAACATCCAAAAACCAAATGTGTTGTTATTGTTATTGGCTGGGACCCCTTTTTAAACAAATACTGTGGGACTTCAATTTGCTTAGTGCTATGGCAGACGCCAATGACAGGCACACCCAAATCTCACCAAAATACCTTGGCAAATTATTCGTACACTCAATGACCATTGACAGTTCTCCCTTATTATTAAGATGGTTTTCCGTTTATGTTTCAAGAAAGGTTGGTGTTTGACTTTGGTGGAAACAAATCTACCAAGCATTGTTTGCAAGAGGTTTGATGGTTGAAGAAAACATGATAATCATAACAAGATGAAAAGGTCTTGAACTAAACTATCAGACTCAGACTTTGCTATGTTCTTGGAGCTCATGAGTTGGATTCCTTCTAAAAACAAACCAAAACCTGGAACTGTTTCCACACAGTTTAAGATGTAGCCCGAGTAAATGATAGTAAAGAACTCAGGAAACAGTCGGCAAAATTTATACTAATCACAATATTCTTTTGGAGTTGCTTTTGATCTCATGCATTCAGAAACGCTGGCGACTTATTTGTTTGACAGTCTTTTGCGAAGAAAAAAGATGGCGCACAACTTCAACTTTTAATTGATTGAATAATTTTGAAATGGCATATTTTTCAAAGTTTTTTTGAAAAAATAAAAAAAGAAGATATAAACATTGAACGTGCTGTTAAGCAAATCACCTTGGCCAGGGGGGGGGGCAACTGCCCCCCCCCCTGGCCAACATCGGGAGCGCTACCGATGTTGGCGAGCCGCCCCCTGCATGTCTTAACAGCACTTCCAATTTTTCACATTGGGGGCTTATTAGCTCAAAAGTCCCGGTCCGTACTATGCTGGGGGGGGGCTAGCCAACATCGGGAGCGCTACCGATGTTGGCCAGGGGGGGGGGCAGTTGCCCCCCCCCCTGGCCAAGGTGATTTGCTTAACAGCACGTGCTAACAGTTTAATGTTATTTTTCATATTTTTCATTATTTGAAAACATCGGGAGCGCGAGTTTTTCGCCAAAAGCAAATTTGTAATTATGACCTTAAAACGTCGGAGCGCTACCGAACGTTTTCGCCAAAAGCAAAATTTGTAATTATGACCTTAAAACAGTCGGGAGCGCTACCGAACGTTTTCGCCAAAAGCAACTTTTAATATTTATGGTCTTAAAACAGTCGGGAGCGCTACCGAACGTTTTCGCCAAAAGCAAAATTTGTAATTATGACCTTAAAACAGTCGGGAGCGCTACCGAACGTTTTCGCCAAAAGCAATTTTTAATATTTATGGTCTTAAAACAGTCGGGAGCGCTACCGAACGTTTTCGCCAAAAGCAATTTTGAAATTATGTATGACCTTAAAACAGTCGGGAGCGCTACCGAATGTTTTCGCCAAAAGCAATTTTTGAAAATATTTATGGTCTTAAAACAGTCGGGAGCGCTACCGAACGTTTTCGCCAAAAGCAAAATGTGTAATTATGACCTTAAAACAGTCGGGAGCGCTACCGAACGTTTTCGCCAAAAGCAATTCTTAATATTTATGGTCTTAAAACAGTCGGGAGCGCTACCGAACGTTTTCGCCAAAAGCAATTTTGAAATTATGTATGACCTTAAAACAGTCGGGAGCGCTACCGAACGTTTTCGCCAAAAGCAATTTTTGAAAATATTTATGGTCTTAAAACAGTCGGGAGCGCTACCGATTGATTTCGCCAAAAGAAAATTCTGAGCATAGAACAGTTCCTGAGCACTAAGATTTTTTTAACCATTGAATACATCAAATTTTGAAGGCAGAATCATTTGTTATAATGCAATAACAAAATTTCAAAAATGCAACTTTTTCAAAAAGGTTACACTGTTTTTACATAACTTTATATTTCATGTGGAACTGGGACCACTCAGGAGAACTGCCAAATGGTGCACCTCAAAACCAACAGAAGCTGAAAGTCAGTGTCATTCTGGTCATTGTTCCCTTCCTACGAAATCTATATTCTTAGTCTTAAGGTCCCAGAAGGGAAGAAAGGGCATCACCATAACATGCACTTGCAGGCTTTCAACATCTGTTTTTATACTGAGATAGTAATAGATAATGATCAGTGGAATTTGCACTTCCCGAATCAAGGGGGTGGGAATTCTAGCGGCTGCAATGGTTGGTTTCATCATCACACCTTTAGCCCTTCACCCTGCAATGGATGACAATAAAACATAATGACTTCCCACTTCGAAGCTACAAATGTAAAATAACTTTGGGGGTCATTGATCATGATATGAGTATTTCCCAATCAGAGAAGTGGGGATAACAACCATGGTTACCACCAAGATAAAAAAACGCTAAGATACCACCAGCTTAGTGCTTCCACTCAAGAACTGGAGAAACTTGAAACAAGACACAGTTGGTTTTCCAATGATGTGGATTTACATGCCTCAGCGTATGAATTAGGAACTATTGCCACCAAAGTGCTTCCACCAAACAAATGGTTTAATACCAGCCCCCAAGTATTTAACAATAAGATTTAAAACTGATGTTGAAGGGGTTGAATTACATTTTAATCCCCCAAATTGTGACCCATTGTTGGATTTCAAGACCTTTCTGTTTCCACAATGTGCTTGAGACATCCCCCTCAAACACCCCATGGTCTGATCATGGGCCGTTGCCCATCAACTTCTAAGAACAGCTGAACTGCATCTTTCGCAGTAAGCTTGTAAAAGATTGGTCGCAAGTCCTGGGCGGCCAATGATTTGATTGAAGGGGACGATTGGAAATAGTAATCCCAGTGAGGTATGTTTTAGCCAATAATGTTATCATTGCAAGATTTAAAAATTACTGGTTAATTAATTAATGTAGCTTGGAAAACTCAATTTGCCACTTCATCTGGGATTTGACTTCAACTGGCACTTCGACGCGCAATGGAAAACGACATGGTGCAGCATCCCCTCCAGAAACGGAGCTTGTTGCAAAACATGAGCGTGAAGGCGCTGAAGATGCACCAGCATGTTTGGCATTGCAAGACATTGGACACAGCACCCCCTGGACTGAAAAATGAGAGGGTGAAAAAGGAGGTGATGAGCACTGAGGTTGCTCCACATGTTATGAAGGAGGAGCCACCGGCGCCAGCTGTTCAAGCATTGGCTTCTGTGCCCCAGATCCAGCACTTCGAGCCGTTCAAGATGTTACCAATGGTGGCACGACTCTGCCAATTTTGGCATCCATATCATCCATCGTTACCCCAATTGTTAAACACCAGAATAATTTAGCCCAGAATCAGAATCAGATCCCTGCTCCTCACCCGTCACGAAGGCAATGGCTTTCGCACCAACCGTTTTGAACTTGGCCGCGCGCTCCTTGGCCAAGATGCAGTTGGATGGTCTGTCAGAAAAAAAAAACTAATGGTCTGTTCAGGCCCAGCTTAAGATATGTTTTTGCGAGATGTGAGCCCTTTGACATGAACTATCATCATTGTTTGCAGCTGGAAATCCAAGAACTTTGTTTTGCTATCAATTTGCTCCCAAGTCAGTGGGCAGCCATCCAAAACTGTAGCTGCACGTGGGTGTTCTTGCCTGAACCCCTGGCTAACCCAGAAGATCCTCTTTTCTTTCGTTGCACACCTTGGGGACAACGGATAGGTGATCAATGTTTGGAATATCATGACATCCTTTCTCCCTAATATGATTGTTCCCAAAATGTAAAACTGAATCCAAGATGGTTGGATGAGGAAACCGATTTGAGAGATCACGCAACCAGCTGCATTGATTGCCTATGGACTTCAGCAAAAAATTGGCCATCATGTGTATGTTGGACACATGGCCCTTGGAGACGACTTGGAAGCGACAGCAGCCGAGGATGAGCCGTTCACACAACCAAAGAAGGGCCGCAGACCGTGTTGACAATGTCAATAAACGGCTCCATTTACTTTTGGCGTGAGGGCATGCCACAGGGGCTTACAGAAAAACATCCAGGCCGAGCAGAGGCAACAAATGGAGAGGTTCCAGGCAGAATCGAAGCCATGGAGTGCAAGTTCAAGATGATTCCGATTAAAGAACTTATTATCATATACCCAGGGCCCCCCTTCTAATGAACTAAATGCAGTTTAGATGCTTGTAAGGGATAAGAAGACCACGCTTGCCATGACTGAAGAAATACTTGTGCGAGGCCACATACCTGGGTTTCACAACCCTTGCACAGATGTTTAATGACAGTATGGAAAGAGGGAAACCCACCTAGTGAAATCAATCAATATTTTGAAATCAACCAATACAGCATCTATAAAAGATACAGGTACTATAATTAAAGGACACTCCATTGTCATAAGTGGAAATCCAAAATCCAAGGTGCAGTCCTTTGAGGAATGTAGCAAAGCACGCGCTGGTACTTGGACTCAATGGGTTCTTCTGCGCAATGGTGTTCAGCTGAAGCCTCCATTAAGAAACATATGGGGAATGATCATATTTAGTAATAATAGGATAAATTCAGTGCTAGGGTTCCAGGGATATATATATATATAATTATATATATATAATATATATATATTATTCCCCACCTGCCAGGTGAGGGTTGTTAGATTTTATGTCAGTTGCTTGCTCCTCCTCCTCCTTCTCCTCCTCCTCTCCTCGTCTCCTCTCCTCGTCTCCTCTCCTCCTGCTCCCTGCCGGACCTCAACCACGACCATCCACGCCCAGTGTGCCCTGCCGGACCTCAACCACGACCATCACCGCCCAGTGTGCCCTGCCGGACCTCAACCACGACCATCAGTGTTCCCTGCCGGACCTCAACCACGACCATCCACGCCCAGTGTTCCCTGCCGGACCTCAACCGCGAGTATCCATGCCAAGTGTTCCCTGCCGGACCTCATGTAGGAAGATATGCCAGATAGAATGCCAGAAGGTATGCCAGATAGAATGTCAGATAGAATGCCAGAAGGTATGCCAGATAAAGTGCCAGAATGATTGCCAGAACATATGCCAGAAGATTTGCCAGATAGAATGCCAGATAGGATGTCAGAAGATATGCCAGAAGATATGCCAGATATAGAGTGCCAGAAGATATGCCAGAAGATATGCCAGGTAGAATGCCAGAAGGTGTGCCAGATAGAATGCCAGAAGATATGCCAGATAAAATGGCCGAAGATATGTCAGATAGAATGTCAGATAGAATGCCAGAAGGTATGCCAGATTAAGTGCCAGAATGATTGCCAGAACATGTGCCAGAAGATTTGCCAGATAGAATGCCAGATAGAATGTCAGAAGATATGCCAGAAGATATGCCAGATAAAGTGCCAGAAGATATGCCAGAACATATGCCAGAAGATATGCCAGGTAGAATGCCAGAAGATATGCCAGATTCAATGCCAGAAGATATGCCAGATAAACTGCCAGAAGATATGTCAGACAGAATGCCAGAAGATTTTCCAGTAACAAAACGTATAGATGTCATGGTGTGGATAACTCGAAGTAAAGTAATTTTAGTATTTAATATATACATATACTTTTAGTCAATGTTCAATTGGCCAGAAACAAAACTCAACCAAACTTTTCAACAATGGCAATCATCAAATTCAACCATAGTCAGATTTGGGATTTGGTGCCCTTCAGACCAAGATAGATTTAAAGTGCCAAAGAACATTGAAGTGACAACCTTTGCACCGGTTTGTTTGATGGCATCCCGAAGCTTGTCATCAGGAGGGTTTAGAACCTTCATGGTGCTGAAGCCAGGAATCGATCCCTTTGGACCTGACAGGAATGCAAGAGGCAGGTTTATGATCTTAACGGTGATAATAAGTATAAGTGATAACAAAAATCATTTTGATATCAATACTTGTGGATGATGGTTGTTTTAACCTAATAAAGGCATCCCTATAAAAGATTAAGGGCAATCCCGCAAACCCAAAATGGAAACACACCAAAACCTGCACATCTCCCAACAAGGCTGAAAACTGGCAGAGAGATGAGTCGCAGAATGGAGGTGCTTGGAAGGGAGTGGCAGTGATGATTTTTAAGGATCTTATTTTATGTAGTCATTTGATTTTGCCCCCTGGCCTTCAACAGCTTCATCACCTTAGATTTGCCGTGGTGGAGGCATGGCAGGGTAGTTTCTTTTTTGACCTAGTGGTTCATTTTTTTTCAAAAGGATGTCATCAATGTTCCTTTTTGGATCAAGTCACGGTCTCTGACATTCTTGAAATACAGTTTTCGTTTCTTCTTCTCAGATTCCTCTTCAGCAGCAGCTTGTTGAGCCAAGCGTTTTTTCCCTTTGAAGATCATTCCCTGCCGAAACGCCTGAATACCTCAGGATCGCAGTTCAACTCTCTCAGCATATGTCTGGGTTATTTTCTTTTGAGGGGGGCAATGAAAAAAGAATGTGAATTTGATTCAAAGCACGCCGTTTGTTCTCCTTTTTCTTGTTAAACTCCATCTCTTTCTCGTGTTTGGGGCCCCACAGTCTAGAAGCCATTTTGGAAATCATAATCTTCCTCGAAGATCCCTCATCACCTTTTTCAGAAACTGCTTTTCGGACCACTGCGCGGCGATGTTGTAGCCAATGACTTGCACTAGCCCACCGCCCCTTGCTCCCCATGTTTTTGGACTTCCGTCTCATTGTCAGGCGCTTCGTGGACTTAGTGAGCCAGCCGCAAGGAGTGCTTGGGTGAAAAACCTTGGGTGGAAAAAACATCACAATGTAGCAGGTACCAGATTGAAAAACCATCAGAAATTTGGGGTTGGAACCAGGAGCAATTGCAACATTGATTGGGGTTTTTAATTTTGGGACCTAGCAGTTCTAAAGATGAAATTATTGAATCTGAATGATGCGGTTAAGCCATCTTACTACACAACGATTAAACATCCGCTTGTCCTAAAAGGACAATAGGATAAGTCTTATTTATAATTGAAGGGACCTTGTTTTATATAAATATATAATGATATATTGTTATAATCATACATTTCATATAATTATTATTCTTGAATTATATCTATGTTTCTGTACCTGGCACCACATGGGATACTTTGGGGTTAATGTTTAACCACTGGACACATATCATTCCCCACCTGCCAGGTGAGGGTTGTTAGATTTTATCAGAGCTGTTCTCCTCATCCTCCTCCTTCTTCTCCTCCTCCTCCGCCTCCTCCTCTTCCTCCTCCTCCAGTTTCTCCTCGACCATGTCTGCATCAACTTCCACGTCCACTTCCGCCTTGCCAACTCTTCGCCAATCTCTTCGCCAACTTCTGCGCGCAGTGGGCACGGCTGGACCTCAACCTGGGACCTTCCGAGCTCAGTGGGCACCGCTGGGCCTCAACAGCCAGATAGAATGCCAGAAGATATGCCAGATAGAATGTCAGATACAATGCCAGAAGGTATGCCAGATAGAATGTCAGATAGAATGCCGGAAGGTATGCCAGATAAAGTGCCAGAATGTTTGCCAGATAGAATGCCAGAAGATTTGCCAGATAGAATGCCAGATAGGATGTCAGAAGATATGCCAGAAGATATGCCAGAAGATATGCCAGAAGATATGTCAGGTAGAATGCCAGAAGATATGCCAGATAGAATGCCAGATCAAATGCCAGAAGATATGCCAGATAAAATGCCAGAAGATATGCCAGATAGAATGCCAGAAGGTATGCCAGATAGAATGTCAGATAGAATGCCAGAAGGTATGCCAGGTAGACTGCCAGAAGATATGCCAGATAGAATGTCAGATAGAATGCCAGAAGGTATGCCAGATAAAGTGCCAGAATGTTTGCCAGAATGTTTGCCAGATAGAATGCCAGATAGGATGTCAGAAGATATGCCAGAAGATATGTCAGGTAGAATGCCAGAAGATATGCCAGATAGAATGCCAGATCGAATGCCAGAAGATATGCCAGATAGAATGCCAGAAGATTTGCCAGTAACAAAACGTATCAATGTCATGGTGGGGATGACTCGAAGTAAAGTATTTTTTTATCCACCCTGATCCCTGAATCGGTGAAGCACTGAAACCATGCAAGAGGCTTTTCTTTCCGCGCCATAGCATTCCGCCTGGGCGTGCATGAGCTTCATGCAGTACAAAGATGGGGATGCGCATTTCCACCACAGAAGAATAGGTGCAGGTAAGTAACCCACACTCTTTGGGCAAAGAGGATCAACCTCACAAACATTGTCAAACACATCCTATTGATTTGGTCTTAGTGTCAATGACAATTAGGTTTTCCAAGGCAAGTAACTGATCTTGATGTTCCGACGGGAAATGCATAGCACGTAGTTCGTCATTGATGCCATCTTGGGTAATTTCCCTCCGGGACTTTAACCACTGGCCCTGGGAAAATGATTGCTCGCAGCCACTGCTGCTGAACCCCCATGCTAAGCACCGGGTGATGATGTGCTTCAACAGGGGGCAGAAGAATTTCTGTTTCTCCTCCCGCTTCACCTTGGAGCATGAGTTTCCCTAATTTTTGTTACTGACCCCAAATAATAGATTGATATGACTTAGTGCAGTCACTGTCATGGACCTTCTTTTGATCCATATGCAACATGAGAATCTTGACCCGAACCTAGAATCAAAAATAGGAATGCAACATCCCAAGATACTCGTATAACATCCCACACATATAATAATATCGAATAATGAGATGTTACTGTTGGCACTTAAACTATGTTCTAATATTGAGTTTTACCCTGTTGTTTTCCATCAGCAATAAAGACCACCAAGTTGCCGCTCCAGCCCATGCATGCAGGGGCTTCATTTGATGCCTCTGTTCCAAGGCACTTGCAACTGGACGAACACGACTGACTTCGACAATGAGCTCATCCTTGCGACGGGGCAGGGCAGTGCAACATTGCCACTGAATGTGGGGTGCTCAAACAGCAAGTCAGGTGGGGCTACAATTACATAACTTTATTATTGTAAGAGAGTTAATTTGGGTAAAACATATTAATATTCTTATTAATGTTATTATGCTATGCAATGATGTTGGGCTATTGATATCTTGGCATCAGGGAATCCATTTAAGGCAAAGCGTCAGGGTCAAAGCTGAAGAACTTCGCTAGTCTTTTTACCACTGCATCCCCTTTGAGATCATTACATAGCATGTCCAGGAACGAAGCCACTGTTTGCAAGAACTCATAGTGGGGCATTTCTGCACGGCATGCTGCCTTCACAATGTTGACCCAATTTTTCATCCTGCAGTGGCATACAACCCTGGAACCAAAATATGCTGACATCCCGCAAAATAATAGTTGGGGGATGATTATTTAAAACCCTTTCAACCTATGAGCCATGAAAGATATCACAACCCCATCCCATTATCAATTGGATAGCTTCTAGGTATCGTCAGGGCTGCACTAAATTCACTTGAATCAAGTGGCAAAACCCTATATCATAACTGGCCTTGTTCTTTTCATGGCTCGCCAGGTTCAAAGCCATTGTAAAAAAAACAAGTAAACCCCGAAAATTGAAATTTTGTTTTCATTTGGTCACAGGAACCGGGCTGACACCCTGTCAAGGACTTGCTGATCCACAGCACCACCACCAAGAACCTTCAGGTACGTGAAGCCACCGAGTCGTTTCACTCGGAGGGTCAAGGGCTGTTTCTGCAACCTTTGCCTCATTGATGGCTTTCAAGGTGAACCCCAGTAACATTTGTATTGAAAAAATGGGACATGCCATCATTCAAATCAACAGCTATCAACAGCTGGAAGCTAGGTACATCAATCTTTTCAGTGGAGACTGTGTTGGGATTACACTATCTAGGTTTTGAAAGGGGTTGTTCATTTGCATGTGTTATTATCATATCTTTGATCATCTTTGCTAAGGAACACTAATAATCAGTAGTATCAGTAGTAATCACCAACGGTTTAAAATATCTTCGTGACCCCACGAGAACTTAACCAACAGTTTGATTCACCACCAGGGTCCCCTCCCCTCAATTAACCCAGAAGGTTTCTTTGTTTTTTTTTCTGTGGTGGAAAGCAGTGGGGAACAATACCCAAGCACAAAAAAAACATGTTATCCGAAGGCACAAGGTCATGGAGGCGTATGTGCCATGCAACGTCCATACTCTGCCTTCGCCGAACAGGTAGTCGATTGTGTCCAAGAACCTGAGCGATTGGGTGAATGGAAGGTATGGAGCCCTGGATTGGACAGATATTAAAGTTTAAAAGTTTCAGAGGGAGATTGAATAAGACAAGGGACCGCCGCATGCCACTCTGTAGCTGAACCAAATCAAATGATTCATCATCAGCTATTCTCACCAGAGCAAGGTGCTCATCCAGGGCATCAGCCAGACATGATAATGTCCTTATCAAAGTAGGTCGTAAGGTTCACCCCAAACCATATGAGAGTCTGAATCCAAGATGTCAACCAGGGGGCCAAACTTTGCCATACATAAGATCTTTAGATGATAACCAACTAGCAAAATATGATCTAACTTAACATTATATAGTATCTATAATATATCAACGATTTGGATCGATTTGGGGTGTAACTATGATAAATGATAACAGTATTAAAACAATAATATTATAAGATAAACCATGTGCCACATCATTGATGGGAATGCCAAGGATCAGTATATGATCCAAGTTCACTTTCTCCAAGAGGCTTTGCGCCTGTCGGCCTTCTACCTTAGATTTAGATTTCAGGTCAAAGGAAAGGGGATTTCCATGGCAGAAATGGGTTTGAACATGCTTCGCCGTTCATACTGAATCTATAAGAATGTTCATACTATATATATATAATATATACTTACAGTTTTGTAATACCATAAAAATATATGATGAGGACAGACACTGTGACAACGACGACAAACTGGCAGAGAGAACTACCCCTTAAGGCTTCGAATACTGGAAGGATGACAAGCCAGGTATTTTGCATCCAAGTGGCCTTGAGCCGCCGTTCCAATGCAATCTCCTCCTAAGTTCAGTTTGCACCACACAAGGGAAACAATCATAACCATCATAATAATAATAATCATCATCATCATCATTATCATCACCACCACCATCATCATCGTCACCATGACCACCACCATCAAGATCATCACCATCATCACTACCATCAGCATCATGGTCGCTAACAGTCCCCCTAAAATACAACCAAGCCACCATCACCAACAGCACTGCATGCATATGAAGGACCACGCGACTCAAAGGACTCCGCAAACTCTCGAACCTGGCAGCAAGGGAACCCAAGCTACTCTTTATGTTTGAGTAGTACCCTTTACATTTCTGAAATCTGTTAAATCAAACTTGATTGCGCAGCAACACGTTGAAATCCTTCCCCTACAAGCACCAAAACCCCTGTCCCAATGCCTGTGCTTTGCTGAGCTCATACTTCGGCATTTCCAGCCACTCAACGTCTTCACTTTGGCCGCAAATCTTTCCTGCCCGGTAGAGGCAGTGCCAAACCTAACCAACGAACTTATTAGATACACAAATGCGATCTAGAAAACAATGCAATGCTCTACTCCAAATTCAGCACCAATCATCCATTCTCATGAACCCCTTTGATGCAGGCGTGCTGCTCTTTTTTGCCCTTGCCGCTGCATGCCACATCCAAAATGGTCCAAAATATGCCAGCCAATATCTGATTGAGACTTCGAAATTTATGCCACATTGAA